TCTTGATGTGCACACCTTGATGATCTTACAGGCACGGGCCACCTCGGATGGTGCGGCCCATGTATCAGCTCTTGTGGTACCGAGGTATATCCCCCAGACTAGTCCCCGGCATACATGTATTCTGATACTGACCGCCGTTTTAGCCTTCTCCAAGCAGTGAGGAAGCAGGTTGCTTGACATCTCCGACCACCATTGTCACTTTAGAATGGGTTGTCAAGAAGAATGTATAGATGCGATGCAGCAGAAAAGAAAAAGATTTCCGTCCTAGGAAGTGTGCCCACTTGTATTTCTAAAAAAGAAATATAAGTCGTCTTGAGCGTGGCGTCCTTGATCATCAGGCGTGGGGTGAGAAAAACAAACACATTCAACATGAAGGTGAAGTGTGCCCACGTAGTCCCCGAGCACGGTAGTAGGTGGCAATGAGGCGCGTGGTGCTAGGGTCTAAAAAAGAATTCCGGTTAAGTTGAGAAAGCGAATCATCGTACAAGCGTCTGAGATGCTGCCCGTGCATCGCCATACCGATAGTCCCCGAGCTTCTTTGGAAGGCGAGGTATGAGCCTTGTAGCAAGGTCTAAACAGAAAGAATATCCCAAGCTATTATGCGAGTACATGATCGCATGTAGTTGAGACATAAGAATCCGGTACGTGGTTGGAGAGATGATCGGCGGGATCCACGAGCACAAGTCGAGAGTCAGTGACGAAGTCCCCAAGTTAATGTGGGAGAGTGATCGAGGCGGTCCCCGGCGTGGAGTTGAAGGCGGCGACAGCAGTCCCAGAGCATAGCTTCGAAATTCCACTGTAGATAAATATGTAGAGATGGTAGTACATGATGTACAAAATAATAAATTATGGAGAAAATCAGCGGTGAAGAAACAACGCTTTCTCGTGATCATTGCAAATGAGCATGATGTGATAAAGCGGTTGGTGCTTTGTAAACATCAGTGTTAATATGAAGTTTGTGTTTATACTTAATACGGAACCTTCGACCGAGTTAGTATGTAGGCGAGTCTCGGCCCTATTTAGCCAGCGTTAACCATTACGCGAGAGCACGGAGCCCGTGCGTGTAGGAAGAACAAAGCGTCGCTAAAGGCATTGCGCGACCACCCATAATGAAGGCGGGGCGGCTCATGCACGTATGTAGGGAGGAGGCCAGGCGAGCGGGGCGTCTCTGGAGGCATCGGCGTCAACATGACTGAAAGTCGAGATTTGCAGTAAGTATAGATGTATGTTATCTTCAAGATGGTATACATGGTCAAGCGTTATTTGAAGAATAATCATAGACGGGGCGTTGTGGAGAAACGTCGTGATGAAAATTATATTAAATATAAATATTAGAAGTGTACTTATCTTTGGATAGAAATCGGACATTGTGATGAAGTCATCGGTCCTCGAGCTTACCGACTGTTGTGACGGTGGTCGCGGTTGTCATAGCGCCCGTTCTTGGCGGCGATCATCATTGTGGCGTGGTGCGAGTGGTCGGCGTGGTGAAATTCCGGCGAACGCTTCGGGACATGGTCCGGTGGTCTGAACTTAGCGGTACCTTTCGGGGCGTGGTCGGCGTGGTGCGGTGGTCGGAGCTTCGGCGGATGCCGCCGGGCGTGGTCGGCGTGGTTGGACCGAGTAGTCCGTGATGTCATCCTTATGCCTCTAGGCGGCAGCGGCGTGATGTCCGGGTGGTGATGCGAAGATGAATTGTTGATCCTGGTGATGATCTTGGCGAAGTCCGAAACTAGGCTAACCCGCGATGGCGATTACCTCACGTGCCTGACAAAATTTGGATTATTACGTGCGTGAAACATGCACACGCATACGCATGATTATCCTGCATGCCTTTTTCAATCTTGCTCTTTCCTTATTGGCTTGCAATCGACAGCGTTTGGTGCCATCGTTGCCGCGTGGAGTAATGGCGATGAAGGATGCCGAAAACGCGAAGACATCCATGGCGGCCCCAACAATCTTTGTGTTTGATCCATCTAATTGTTGCGGAGACATGTTGACGAGACTCAAGAGTCTGATACGCAGCGTAGCCACGAAGTCGCTTCATGGCCGCTGAGTGCGAGGTCGTCGGCGGAAGGCGGTTTCGCGATGCACAATGTCGAGGACGCCGGGTCACCGCCGACATCGTTGATCTTGAGGTATATATGCCACTGGTTCGCCATGGATCGAGACACACACACCCCCTACTGGCGTGCCCTTGTCGGCGAAATATGGTGGCGAGTCCACCGCAAAGTGCCCGTGGTGGTAGATTATCGGTGAGCAGTCGTTGTAATCGGGGAACCAGATGGTAACACAAAGGCGAGAGACAACGATTTAGACATATTAAGACGTCTCGATCGGCGTAATACCCTAAATCACGTGTCTTTGGTGTATTGTATTGAGATGTATCTGATTAACTTTGTCCTCTAGGGACCTTGTCTCTCCTTATATACTCCGAAGAACAAGGTTACAAGTAAAGTATCAAATTTGGTACTATTACAATATCTAGTACAACTTGTAATCTTGATGTGCGGCGCCTTGATCTTACAGGCCAAGCCACCTCCGGATAGTGCGGCCCATGTACCATCTTGTGGTACAAGGGGTATATCCCCACAATGATGCACATGCGGTGTTTAGCAAAAAGATTATGCAGATGTAACGAGGGTGTTACACACGACCCACTGGTCGTGGGCTCCAGACCCTTTGGTTACATGAGAAAGCCGTGTCGCCTGAAACCCCAAGGTCGCGAGCTCACGGCTCGTTCGACCCTTTAGTCACTGGGCTCCATCTCGCTTTGACCCTTTGGTCGCGGGATCCATCTCAAATCCTACCCTTTGGTCACGGGCTCCGGCTCGCCCTTTGGTGGCTGGCCTGGCTCTGCTTTGACCTCAAGGTCACGGGCCTCGTCTGCCTTGAGCCTCTTGGGTGCAATATCCGTTGAGAGTGAAGAAGGGGTATATATACGTTTTCTTTTTCTCCCCAATATGACTATCTGCGATTTAAGTGATCGTTTGGGGCTGAGGGGTATATATACCTTTCCCTTTCTTTTCCAGCTGTAATGAACCAACTTTGCTCCCTCTCTCTCCTCCATTGTTGACCTTAAGCCTCCAAGCAAATCCATTGATTTTTCCCATTAATCCTTGAGGAATAAGGGTCCAAAATTTGATAAGAGAGCATCTCCATTGATTCCAAACTCTAAAGAGCACTTGGTTCATGTTTTGGCCGGCGGTTGTGTTTGTTACTCTTGGGCTTGACTCCTAGCGGCTAAGCGTCGCCCGTGAAGATTGCCAACTTGTGTGGTAGCCCGGAGAGTTTGTAACCCCTCTTGCAGCAAGTAAAATCACCTCTCATCTCAAGAGTTCACTCTCTTGACTTGAGAAACGAGGTTGGGTTGAAAATACCTAAGCCTTAGTAGTATACCTCAACAAGCGTGGACTTAGGCAAGCCTTGGTGACCGAGTTGAACCATGAAATAAATCCTTGTGTCATCCTGGCTTGTGTTGCTACACTTATGTTCTTGTTGTTGTTGAGATGATTTCTAGGATTAAGGCCGATCTACTTATGTGTGGTGTTTCCACCACTTTCAAATTGTCGATCTATGATCTACCACCACGCATCAAGCTAAGAAATTTACCCGATCTAAATTTAGTTGGGTAGATTTTGAATTGTGAACTAATCTCTTCTGCAGAAAAGTGCAGTGCCTCGCTCAAAGAAGCGGCGATCTCAGCAGTGAAGAGTGACTGACCGATTTGAGTTGAATTGTTATAGTCCTATTCACCCTCCCTTTAGGCGTACGGAGATCCTACACTATAGCCTTGTTTAAATCTGAGGTGTAAAGTTTTTATAATGTCATATCGGGTGTTACATGGGGTGTCGTATGGAGTGTTGAATACTAATAAAAAAACAAATTACAAAAATCATCGAATGTCTGCGAGATGAATTTATTAAGCCTAATTAATCCATCATTAGCACATGAGTTCTTGTAGCACCATATTGTTAACTCATGGACTAATTAGGCTTAAAAGATACATCTCACAAATTAATTACAAAGCTGTGAAATTAGTTATTTTTTAGTCTATATTTAATACTCCATGCATGTGTCCAAATATTCGGATGGTATAGGAGCAAACTTTAGGGGAGAAACTAAACAAGGCCTATATAAGTAAATTTAGGGCGTTTTATTCCATTGGCCAAAATTTTTCTTTGGATCCATTGGGTAAAATAGGTTGACCGCCCCAACAAAATTATGTAAGTATGGACCGGGTCTAGCAAAATTGTTATGTGGCGCGCTTTGGGTTGACCCATTTTATCTATTGGGTCAATAGGTTCCAACTCTATCGAGGCCTTTTAGGACTTTGAGATCGATCTTGTGACCCATTGGCCTTGCTTTATGGGTCGCATACGAACTATCCTATAGGTCAACCCGGTCCATTCTGATCCCCTACAGCGGGGTATGCACCTAGATACCATGAATCATGATGCAATCACGGATAATGAACCTCGAAGGCACGTTAACTCTGATAACGATCGTCATAGTGGCAAAACCGGTACTACCAAGACTACATCATATTATGGTGGTGTAACGTTCCAAAAATTCAAATCTTAAAATCACTCACTCAAAAACATTTTCAAAACCTATTTTGAAAACTAAAGTCATTTGAGCTCTATTTAAATTTCCTTCCTACTGAATCCACCTCATATATATCCCCCTGACCCTTGTCCAAATATTTATCATGCACATCGCAACAATGATATCCCCGGCCGTCCCCCACCGCTCTCGCGACGCGCTCTTTCGCCCTCGCTCGACACAACACCGCATGTGCCTGCCCTATCACACTACCGCCGGTGCATCGCGCGCCGGACCCCTCACCGACCTTGGCTGTTTGTGCGACACCACGCCATGTGGGCCCCACCTTTCCGTCATGTCGTGCACATCGTGGGCCCCACCTCCCATCTCCCTCTCCTTCTCCATCACGCTTGAGCAAGCAACAGCATGAACAGGGCACTCACACCACGCAAAGCAGAGCACGCACATCGCCCCAGCATCACGTACACAAGCTGCGGAGCCCACACTGTACCCGTTGCGTGCCGACCGGCCACAGCCCTCGCTAAACGCCACCATCCCATGCCCTGCAAAAATTACCCGCAGCACCGCACCACGCCCAGCTATCGCGGCCATGCCGAGGTGCTGAGCAGGCCGTCCAGCTGAAGCTCTGCCTCGGGCCACCTATACAAGGGCGCACCTGGGGAGCTCCTCCACCGCACCACCGAACTCTCTCCGAGCCGCTCAGCTCAGCAGCCACCCTCTCCTCGCTCACCTTCTTCCTCCCCAGCATCTCCGTCTCTCTCCAGTACCCTCCACAGCTCGGTACGCTCGCCTGATCTCCCTCTCCATTCACGACCTGACCAAGGTGAGCCCTTAGGGAGCATCCCTCATCCTCCTCTCTCTCACCATGCTCTTGGATTCGAGATTCGTAGCTGGTTCAGCCATCTCGACAGAGCTTGAGCAAGCGTCCATGGCGGACGCAGGAGTGAGAACGCGCGAGCTCCTCTGTGCTCTCGCTGGGGTCTAAACCAAGCCTCCATTCCTTGTCCTTTTGCATTTAACTCTCCAACTGCAGCAACCAAGGAGGCCCACAAGCAGTGTGCTAGTCGTGGAGTCCAGAAGTACCGTGTGAAGTCCAAAATGCCAGCTCCCCTCACGCGCAGGCCATGAGCCATTAATCCACTTCATCCATTTGTTTATCCATTTTCCTTTCTATTAAACCAGCAGCCCAAATACAAATTCCTAATTCCATTTCTTTGGTCACGCCATACAATTAAGACCCATGACCCAATATCCAATGCCACTGGTCACCAGCCTAATGACTTGTCATTTTCGAAATTAGCTTAACAGCCACCTTGTAAATACGATATCTCATCCATCCAAGCTCCGATTCACTTGATTCTTCTTCCTAAATTTATCTAAAATCAATATCTATCTACCAGATAAATTTCATGGTTTTTAGGGCTCATTTAAATTTATGTGATTATTTAATTGTGTCTGTTTGCATGTCCGGTTGTTTGCGCGTTTTAGCTGACGGAGTGAACGAGCCGGAGGACGAGGACGCCGGAGGCGAGTACCGTGAGTTCGACCCCAAGGACCCAAACTTCCAGCAGGAGTTTGCTGAGGACGTCGACGGAGGCAAGTCCAATCTAATCCCCTTTGATGCACGTTGATCCCATTTTTAAACACAACCCGTAAAAGCCGTTTTAAATATTGCATGTACGATATACGTACGAGGTATTTTCGTTGCTTAGCTAAAACCCGTTTGAATAACCATCCTTGGATTAATATTATCTGATAATTGTCTTGCTCAAATCTAGGAATAAATATTATGCTACTACGAAATATTATTATTTAGCAATGCTTAGGACCGTACCCATCATGGATACTCATCACTATGATTTCTCAAATGCAATGATTTTAAATGAAAACTATGTGAGTGGTGAGGATAAGTTGTGGGTATTGTGAAAGGGTTAATGAACAAGTTATAGATGGTGATTACCCTAGAGATGGGGCGGATCGGATCCCTTTTGTGGGATGCCGTGGTGTTGTGGCTCGTACCTTTTGTGGTTAAGCGTGCAGATATCCGCCTTGTCTCGATTAAGGACTGAGTTGATGATTCATCTCACTTAACTTATTTTATCGTAAAACCACTCGACCTTGTATGTGGCAAGGCTTAGTCTAAATCCCCCTAGTTGGTATGGCAATCACCTGGAGGCAGGTGTGCAACGGGACACTAAGAGATATATGTGGAAACTGAGGAATTGTATGAAATATAATGAGCTCTGTAAATTATTGTATTATAAGATGTTGCCTTAGTGTGCCCGTGGTGAGCGTCGGTACCCAGCTATGGAGGGTAATGGCTTTGATGGATCCGTGCTTGCACGACGGTATCAAGTTACCGTATCCTACTTGTGGTGAAAGTGTACAACCTATGCAGTGTAAAATTTATCCGGATAGCCGTGTTCGCGGTCTCGGACGGGTTATGGTTTGGTTTCAACAACTAGATGGTTGGGATGAGTGGAAACATGAGCGTGTGTATGATTTTAGAAATGAATGGTTAATGGCCATGTGTTGTGGGAACAGAGTGTTCAGCAACACTTAAAATTGTGACAAACCCCTTTTTAGATTACTCTTATATATGGAGAATATAAGTCTTTTACAAAGGTATTTATGAAATGTAACCCTGCATGTGTCTAAAGATAGCTCTCTGCAAATGAAACCAAGCCTTATCCTTGATATATCCATATGCATGTACTGTTATCCCCTTCTGTAGGATAAGGTTGGACTTGCTGAGTACTTTGTACTCACCCTTGCTTTGTTGAACAGAGAAAGATCCGGACTTCATTACCGAAGCTGCGTTCGAATAAGATCGTGTCTATACCCAACTAAGCATGTGGCATTGGGACCTATCAGATGTTTGACTGCAATTCATTTTGTTTCTGGGTCTGTTGGACCTATATTATGTTCCGGTTACTTCTAATCATGGCATGTCTTCATTGTCCACGCTTGTCGAGACTACTGGACTGAGACTTATCTGATGTAATAAACGTGTTACTAGCCTCCTGGGACTAGTATTGTATCATATTTGAGTTCTTGGATAACCAGGGGCGCTTCAGGTGGGCCGGGGGGATGGACTAGAGTAGAGTTGTGACACACCACGCCATGATATAGATCGACTTGGTGCACGCCCGTGCGGCATGTATTTCACCTTTTTCATCTTCTCAATAAATGCACACAATAGTCATCCCTTTAAATTCATTGAACCTCTAATCAAAATTCTATATGGAACTAAACCTTTACTGCATCTATAGCATTTAATATGTGCCTTAGGATTTATTTAATTTTGATTAAATGAAATTAGACTAAGCCCAATTAAAATCCAGCAATCGCCACTAAATTCTAAGGCATAAAAGAAATGCTCTTAGTTCTACTGTTGTTTTGATATACCATTTGTTGACACAAAGATCGGCCACACATCACAAGGAGCTAGAATGCTCGGGTCGCAAACGGACTAAAGAATCCAACGGATAGCCAATACGCTTTCATGGTCAAGAGCGATAAGGTTTACAAGCTAACCATCAAAGGATAACTATCGCGCTTCTGATATAGGTGCATGACAAAGATGTGGTAGAACCGCCTAATCTAATGCCTCCCAGGAGTACTTATCTTCCATTATACACTAAGTACTCAAGAGATGACACTAAACTACGCAGTTCCATCGAGCACACCCTAAGGGAGAACTCAAAAATCTATATTTTTCCATCAGGGTCATAAATGAGATAATAAAGCTTACAACATACTTAAGTCATTTCTTATATCACTTTATTATAGTACAGAATATTACCTCAATTTATTATAATAGCGGAATATAACAATGTTATCAGAGTTACAGAGGAAGCAAGAGTTAATTTAATGACATGGTGGAGAATTAACATAGGGGACATTTATATACAAGAGCTGCTATCATATTTTACACCTTTTCTTATAAAAACCTTTAGTAAGGGTTATAAATAAACACTACGATCGTAGCGTAAAAGGAATTCTCTCTGAGCCCACTAGGAGATTTTCACACACAAGAGTCAGCTCTAAGTATCCTCCGATCACCTGCAATAGGGGGAATAAAACCCTGAGTACTCGATTATACTCAGCAAGACTTACCCGACAGGAGAAAAATAAAAGACTCCAAGGACATGCAAGGCTTATTTGGCTTGTGGGCGGAAGTATTACTAAACGTGCGTCCTTATATTTAATTTTATTAGCAGACATCATTAGTTCATTGACTAACCATTCTATGTAAGCACCTATGCTACTTTTAAGTAGGTGGTAAGCAATCAGAACCATTTTGTCACCTTTCAAGTTCTAGTTCTTACTACGGTGCTAGACCATTACTAAGTTGATACCGTCTCAAAAGAAACGACGATTCACGAATCAATGTATCCCAGCTGGGTACCCCGAAACACATGCCTTGCTTTGTACCCCAGGCACAAACAAGACCAACCTATTCCACTCCTGTCGAGGGGTGCAGGTCCCTGACCAAACTTGGACTCCAAGCCCCCACACTTGAGACCCGGTCATAGTATGGTGTTTAGACCTCACCTTTCTCTGCCTCCAATCAGTCGGTCCGAAAAGAGCCAGAACCCACGACAAGAGCGTAACGAGCTTTCCCGCTCCCATAAGGAAGTATGTGCTCAGGATAATAAGTCTATGACCTGACTACCATCCATAGCAACGGACAGTCCTCAATCGACATAGGCGGAACAAGTGCAATCCGAGCCTCGCTCGAATGTCTAACTAAGTCCAGATCCAAAGTACCATTCTGTTCGGTCTCCAGTAATCATTCATATATATTCCCTGTGATATTAATATAGTAACAACAATAATATCTTTCCTATAGGTAATCATTCGACTTCTACCGGATCCTATAGCATAGCAATCTACATGATCCTGACATACTAGTAGGACTCATAGTATATATATATATATATATGTATGTATGTATGTATGTAAATGAGTTTCATTCAACTCCTTAAAACTTAATGCACAAGCATAAAATAAAGTGCAGAATAATAGGAATTATGCACTGGGGCTTGCCTGGGCAAGATATAACCAAATATTAGCATTCCATTGGTGACACGATCATCAAGGCACCATATTTCCGCTACTTCGGTCGACTCCATGATCCATCATTGTTCCTATTATGATATATGTGGATGCAACGCAGAGATGTAAATAATCAACAGCAACTATAACTCTAAAATACGATTACGCTCCGTAAGCTAACGATCTAGCTTCAATGACTAAGGTACTAGTCTACTTATCTATGTCGTCAAGTAAGGCTTTGCCTCCAGAAAAATATTCTAGTTTTAAAATCCCAAGGTGCTTCGACATTTTATTGATTAAACATATATTTTCAAACTATGGCTCATTTAGCTACATTAGCAAACTAATTATTATGGAGCTACAAAAATTACTATCGAGCACCTAATAATGTGAGGAATTTACTGTGAAAGTTTCAGAGCCAACACTATCACCAATTTCTCACCAAAATTCCTACAAGTTTATATCTTACAATATTAAGCATCTCAAATTAATTAGATAACTCCCAAAAATATTATAAAACTATGTGAACAAAATATACCAGCAGATAGATCATGATTGTTGGAACCTAACAAAATTGGTTTTACAATTTTCGGTTAACTACACAATTTTATATTGAATTTACAAGTTTACCTTAGAAACTAAATTAAAAAATACTTTAGAAAACAAAAAGGGTCGGTGGCAAGCATTCGGCCCAGCAGCCCGGCTTGGCCCAACACGGAACGTGGGCACGCGCAACAGGCCGGCCCAGCAATGGTCCCAAGCGGGGAGTCCGCACACGCGTGGCTCTTTAGCAAAAGAGACCCTGATCTTTTCTGAAACTACATCGCCGTTTGTTTACTATTTCCCTCTCTCTCTCTCTGACAAATTCATTTCACCCTCCCTGGCTTCTTCCTAATTTCCCCATGCATGTCCCTAAAGCAGGACGCGCGGCGGCACGGCGAGCACGGGCACCGAGTGGTCACGCCGGCCATCTAGGGTTCACGCGGACTTATCTAGAGGATCGATCGCAATCCTCGACCTAAGAGGCTACACTGGGTAGCGGTGGAGAGCTGGGAGGCGCTCTAGCGCATGCTGTAGCGACGGGCTAGTGGTGTATGGCAGTGGTGCAGCCGTTCCAGTGAACGAGGAGGGCGGAGAGAGAAAAGAAGTGGTGTGCAAGCACTAGTGTCATACCACTAGAGCAGCCGATATGCTGATGTGGATGGAGAGGCCCGTGTGGCGCTGGCCACATGCGAGCGACGGAGGCAACAGCATACCGAGATGGACATGGTCGCGTCCGCTCACCTCCAGCGAGACCTTCAACGAAGCTAGGGCGAGCACCGGCACCAGGGGGTTCAGATGAGTCTACAGCTAACTTGAATTGAACTAATACCAAGCGTATAGACTTACCCCCAAAACGTGCCATACTACGGTAGCGAGATGACCGGCGACGGCAAAACACCGAATTGTTCGACAACAAGGCTCGTCTGCGCCTTGGTGCGGGTCGACTGCTAGCGAGTCTCCAATCCTAGCTGCTAGAGCACTGAATCGAGGTGGGGTATCACGAACCGCGTGTATAAGCTTGCGAAGC